ATCCCTGCTGCTTCTCTGGCCACCTGAGAGAGGCCCATCACATCCCCCTTGCTGGAATTGGCACCCCCAGATCGTCCTGTGGTGGGACATGGAGAGGATATGGAGGACAACTTCTACCCCACCATGTCCCCCATGCATGGCACTGCTCCTCACCTCTATCCGCGTCATCTTCTCACTGGCGCCGAACCCATCCCACAGGTCTCGCTCCCAGGTCTCATCGGGTACCAAAGGAAAGGAACCGAAAAACAGGCGATAGACCTGCACCAGGGATGGGAGCAGGGCTGCCGTACATGCGGGAGCACAGGCACCCACCTGCCTAGCCATGCCCTGGCAAGGTGAGGTGGCAACACAGGACAAGTCCCGCTGGAAGCCTATGGACTCCCACCCTGCAGGTCTGGCGGTCAGAGCTCAGTCTCGTCCAGGACATGGCCCTTGGCTGGGGCAGTGCAGACCCCTGCTGTGCAGTCACCACCTCCCAAAGGCTGTCACCCACCTCCCTCAGGTCAACACTGGAGCCCAGGAGCAGCTCGGCTGTGCTGTTGGGCAGGGACAGGTTCTGTGTCAGGAAGCGGTGCAGCTCGCCCCGGTCCTTGGCTGCCCACGCCAGCGTGAAGCCAGATCCTGTCAAGGAGCAGGACAGGGCGGTCAGAGCAGCCACCCAGCATCAGGGACATAGCACGGCCCCATGTGGGGATGCATCACAGCTGGCCCTGCCCGACACAGTGCTATGGGACAGGGCACTGCCCACACGCCATCACATCACTGGTTGCCCAGTGGATGGGCACCTCCATCCCTGCCCACGCAGGCAGCAGGGGGCAGGCAGGACACAGCCTACCTGCTGGGTTGTTGAAATGGGTGTCCATGGAGCTGGGCTCACTGCTGCTGAGAGCCTCCAAATGCCTGCGCAGCGACTCCAGCTCCTCCTCCAGCCCCGGGTGCTCTGGGTCGAAAAGGCTGCTCTGCTCCACTGCTTCACTGAGGTGCTCCAGGAGCTGCGTCACCCTGCAGGAGCCCAGCACCACTGCAGCTTCAGGGACAGGGACAAAGGGATGGGGACACCTTCCACAGAGTCCCTTGGGTGCGTGGGGCAGCAGCACTGCCTGCCATGGGCACCGCTGCCCTGGAGCAGCCCTCACCAAATCCACCATGCCAGGGGCACAAAGCAGAGCCCAGAGGTGTCCCTATGGGCCATCATCCTCCTCCCAGCAACAGGCACCCAGGAACCCAGGGGGGAAAAGGCTGAGGTGTCCTCTGCAGCCCAGGGACAGGGTGCTCTGCACCCAAACACTATGGGGGTGTGCCTCGCCTGCAGCGGGGCAGCACCAGCGTAGCACGGCGCAGGTTGTGCGCAGGAGCATGCCAGGGGGAGGAGGAGGCACGGCGAGGGCATGACTCACGTGAATTTAGAATACTGCAGGAAGCCGAACTCGTCACGCTGGCCATCAGGGCACAGGGACTGCATGACGGGCAGAATCCCAGCTGAGGTGAGCGGTGCCGCCGTGTAGAAAGCTGGAGCCAGCAAAGAGTACGGAAGAGGCCAGGGAAGGTGCAGCCAGGGTGGGAGGAGAGGTAGGGGAGGCAGGAGGGAAGCAAGGGGCCACCGGAGAGACAGACACTCAGTTCAGAGAGGAGCTGGGCCTTGAGAGCCCAGCGGGAGGGTGGCAGCCAAGGTCACAAGTCTGCAGCATTCTCACAAGTCTGGCCCTGGCAGGTGGCCCTGGGGCTGTGGGCAGCTTTTGCACCCTGGCTCCTGCCCCTGCCCAGTCCCTGCTAGTGACAGGGCCCTCCCCCCCCCGGGCGATGCCACGT